TTATGTGTATCTTTCACCTAAAATAATATTTGTATCTATAAGCTTCACTGCTTTGCATGAAAGATAGGGCCCAGTTGTTCAAACGTGAAACTGCAAAGTTAGAAGTTAAAATCCCATTTTGAATCGCTATTTTTAAAATTTTTTTTTTTTTAAAAATATACCGTAACAATTTGATACAAGAACCAATTGGCTGGATGAGTGTTTCTTGTGAGTCTCGCTTAGATTGCTCTTCTTGGGCCGGTTTAACTGTTAACTCCGGTGTGTTTAGTCTAATTATAAAATGTGTGTGTTTATTTCAGTTTCTGAAAAAAATAATTTGATAAAAGAAAAAATAATTAAAAATATATTTATAAAAATATAAAAAATATTTCGATAGAAAATTACAATCTAAATACCACTGAATAAACAATAATATCAATACGTCACCATGTACTTCTTCGTGCAAACATCCCGGAAAAATTCCTCTGAGTGTTTCTTGTGAGTCTCGCTTAGATTGCTCTTCTTGGGCCGGTTTAACTGTTAACTCCGGGGTGTTTAGTCTAATTATAAAATGTGTGTGTTTATTTCAGTTTCTGAAAAAAATAATTTGATAAAAGAAAAAATAATTAAAAATATATTTATAAAAATATAAAAAATATTTCGATAGAAAATTACAATCTAAATACCACTGAATAAACAATAATATCAATACGTCACCATGTACTTCTTCGTGCAAACATCCCGGAAAAATTCCTCATTCAAGGGGACCAAGTGAGTAGCTATGATCTCTTATCGTTGGCGAATTTCTTAGAATATTGTTAAATTTGAAAAAGCTCAGAAAATTGGGGTCATCCAGGAGAGTTGCTGATTAAGGGGTCGCCGCAAGTGAGAATAGAGGCTACTAATAAAAACCCTTTTAATTCTCATTTATTTTGGTTTCATGTATTTTGGGTCCCTTTTTTTTTTTTTTTTTTAACCCCTTCGCCGCTCATGAAATGGGCGGCGAAGGAATATTGGTCAAATTGCTTCGCCGCTCATCTGATGAGCGGCTAAGCTTTTGTCCTTATTCGCTAATTCGCTAATGGAATTGGTTGGTTGATGGGACCGTGCTAATGGAATTGGTTGATGGGACCGTGGAGGTCAAATTGCTTCGCCGCTAATCAAATGAGCGGCTAAGCTTTTGTCCCTTCTTTCTTTTTTTTTCTTTTTTTTTTCTTTTTCGAAGCATTCTTCCTAACTTTTATTATTTCATACTAACTTTTATTATTTCATATGTAATTTTTAATCAGTTATTTAATATTTAATTTCATATGTAATAAATGTAATAAGTTATTTATTATTTCATATGTAATTTTTAATAAGTGTCGCCGCTCATTCTAGTTTATTTTTTTTACGAAGCATTCTACCTACCCATTATTATTTTATATGTAATTTGTAATAAGTTATTTAATGTTTAATAAAAGGCAGAGCGACCAGGTTTTTTCCTGACGTTTTTATGTAACCTTAAATAGGCGTAATTAGGATTTTATGTTTTACATGAAATACTAATTTTCAAATTACAGTGTAATACTTTTAAATTAAAATTCTTAAATCATATTACTAAAATTCTATTATAAACCAAAATTATCAAAAATTTAAAATATGATATTAGAATAATGAGAAATTTATAAATTAACATGATAATCGAGTATGCTATTAAATTACTAATAAAATTTACTTAAGTCATATTTTTAAATTTTATAATATTATTATCGCAATCAATAATGATAAATAATAGGGCAAATTCCACTTTACCCCCCTGTGGTTTAGCGTTTTTTCACATAACGCCTCTATGGTTTCAAAAGCTATACATAACCCCCTTATGGTTTGGATTAAAGTGTCAAAGTAACGAAAATAGTCACTCGTAACGGCGTCATCTAAAATGTCAAAAATACCCTTATGTAAGATTGAAATTTATGTATTAACCAAGGGGGGTTATGTGTATATTTTGAAAATCATAAGGGGGTTATATGGTAAAGTATTAAACCATAAGGGGGTTATATGGTAAAATATAAAAATCATAGGGGGTTAATGTGTCATGTATTTATAAGGGTAATTTCGACATTTTTAGAAGTTCCGTTACGAGGGACTATTTCCGTTACTTTGACACTTTAATCCAAACCATGAGGGGGTTATGTATAGATTTTGAAACCATAGGGGGGTTATGTAAAAAAAGGGTAAACCACAGGGGGGTAAAATATAATTTACCCTAAATAATACAATAATATGACTTAATACAACACAACCATAAATAATACAATAATATGACTTAATATTGTATTATTAATATGACTTAATATAACACAACCTCCCAATATATTGTATTATTTATCATTATTAATTGCGATAATAATATTATAAAATTTAAAAATAGGGTTAATTCCACTTTGTCACCCCAAACTTTGGACGATTACCCACTTTAGTCCTTAAACTTCAAAATGGGACAGTTAATTCCCTAAACTTATAAATACCTCCCAATTAAGAAAAATTGTTAACAAAATCTTGAATACCGTGGTGGTCGAAGTGTCCCATTTTATAAGGGTTTAGGGATTTAAGTGTCCCATTTTATAAGTTTAGGGACTTAAGTGTCCCAATTTATAAGTTGGTCGCGCTACCTTTATTAAACATTAAATAACTTATTAAAAATTATATATGAAATAATAAAAGGTAGGAAGAATGCTTCGTAAAAAAAATAAATTAGAATGAGCGGCCACACTTATTAAAAATTACATATGAAACAATAAAAACGTAAGAAGAATGCTTCGAAAAAAAAAAGTAAAAAACTAGAACATAAGGACAAAAGCTTCTCCGCTCATCAATTGAGCGGCGAAGCAATTTGACCAACATTCTTTCGCCGCCCATCACATGAGCGGCGAAGCAACATTCCAAAGATTTTTTTTTTACAAAAACTGACCCAAAATACATGAAACTAAAATAAATAAAAATTAAAAATATTTTTATTAGTAGACTTAACTATCAATTGCGGCGACACCTTACTCAGCATTCCACCCCGAATACCCCCAATTTTATGAACTTTTTCAAAATTGACAATATCCTAAGAAATTCGCCCTTATCGTTTGAAAAAAAAAAAAAAAAGTGAGTAGCTATGAGCCTAGCTATGACTAAGAGTCAAAAGTTATGTTGGCGGCCCGCAGGGAAAAGTTGCACCTTCAAAAGTGTGATTCTGTGAGATTTCTAATAAGTTTTGTGGAGTGGAGAGGTGAAGCAGTGGAACTAGTAGATGATCCCTTGCAGTGAAGCAGTGGATAAAAGAACGAGTAGAAACTAGGAGATGCATTTCAAGGGAAAAAGCCCAAAAAAAAAAAAAAGGCTTGAGATTTCATGCTGTTGTTGACACTTCTGCTTTCTATTTTCAATTCACTGTTTTCGTGGCACAGCCTAGGGAAACTTTGACTGATTAATGTAACTTTGTAGTAACTTATAGTTGCTTGGAAAACAAATTGAAAGTTGGATAAAACTGTTACGAAGACAGTTGTATTTCTACTCACAAACGTTGTCAAAACACAGCATGAGAATAAGCAAAAACAACTCACTAAAATGTAGCAGTGCACAAAAGTGAGTTCATATAACAAAAACACTACCAATTCAATTAAGCAAATAGAGGATCCACTGGGAAGTCAGCAAGAATCCATCAAATGCTTGAGCAATGTTACTCCACCAGCCCCTCTTTGCCTTTGTTTGATTTAACACTTGGGAACATTCACTTCTGTATTTATTGAAGATGGATTCTCTTCGGACAAAAATTTTGTCACGTCACTACAATAACTCATGATTAGTTTATCGCATGACATATTACTCACTACTTGAATTAGGTTTTACTCTAGCCTACAACCCCGGTTACATCCATGTTAGTGTTGTGGAGCTGATATGAGGTTGATAGACCTATTAAATCATGTCAGGTTTTGAATCCAAAACCTGTATTTTATGAGATCTACTAAACAAGGACTTCCTCGGCAACTTTAAAAGACAAGACACTTAATGCTTCTCTTTTCTTTTTATTTTCATCATCCTTCATTTCCACATCTTTGGCCAAAAGAAGTTTAGGAGAAATTTTAGTTTTTCCATTAACATCAGTAATTTGATGTGAGAGGGAGAAAAGCAAGTCATGGTAGTTTTTTTTTTTTTTCCTTACAAGACAGTTGTGAATGGAGTAAAATGTTAACTCAGCAGCATTATGACAAAAAGTCACACAAAAAAAAAAAAGAAAAAGGACTCAACCCAAATGTAGCAATCCGGTAAAAAAAAAAAAAAGTACTAGTATAACTATAATTACGCAATGAGAGGATCACTTGAAGGTGGGGGTTGATCAACTGCTTCATTTTCTGCAAAACAAGTATATATATATATATGGAAAATAGGAGTGACAACTAAAAATGTTTTGAGAAAAAATAGAGAATAAAGAAAGAGTAAAATGACAAATTGATATGCATAAAAACATATCTAAGGGAGAACTTAAGTGACACTTGGGCAAGAGAATCCTATGTTTCTTCTCCCCATATTAATACGTAGTCTCATAAAATTCTATAATAGATAACTAGACTGTACCACTTTGAAACACTAACTTTGTAGTTCAACGGGGGATTGGGGTAGGATTAATACGATTGTATGGTTATTATATTTCTTTCAATGTTTGATGTATATTTATATACAGGAATTGGTCTAAATGAATAAATTTATACATATAAAAAGTTACGTGTGTGTATTAAATTATGTAAAAAAATCCAATAACTTTCCAAGTGAAAAAAGATCCTAACTCTACCTAGCCCTAGTCGACTTGGTGGCTAGGAATCAAAGTGCATTATCACTCAACAAACATGTCATGCCATTTGTACTAGAAATTAAAGTACATAGTCTTGATTGAATTGACGCGAGTTCTTATTGTTGGTTTTGATATCAATAAGACTTGAAGGGAACCTGATCCTTCTCTATCTAAACAGATTTAAGTTTAATCAAAGATATTTGATTAAATAGGGATGGTAATCTAAAACAATTAAATGGAAAGAACAAATAGTTTAAGTAGTTGATAGGCACTTTTTATGCCATGCAACATTCTATCACATTATATGACGGTGACACATACTAATCCACTAAATTTAATTCGTGAGAGATTATGTCAATCCAATTCCACAGATGAGGAAATAAGCAAAATCTTTTGATTTTACCTTACAGGATGGAACACAATGCATTCAAATATGAACTTACTTCGTCTTCACCAAAATTCGCTAACTGGTCATGAAAAAGAATTGCATTAGATGATGTCTTAGATAAGCAAAAATAAATATTTGGATTAAAAAGCATCTCACAGAGCAAATACTATGATCCTGTTTCTTCCGAAGAGGAAAAAAAAAGTTATAAAAAACACAATAGTCATTAAAAAAACAAAATAAAATATTGAATGATGTTGGTGAAGCTTATCAAAATTGAGATTGCAAAGAAAAAGGGAATTTCAAGAACCGTAAATTGAATATTAAAAGGAGAAAAATTGGAGAAGGAAAAAGTAAAAAGGAGAAAAATAGTACCTGCTGATATTAACTAAAGGCACATGGCATATTTTTTCATAATCTTCTCCTTGTTGACCTTTCTCTCTCGTAACTCTGTTGTTGAATTCTTCAGGCATTTGCACAAGGGATACCTCATTTAGGGTGGTTACATATCTCAACCCATCTGGAATCATTTCCAATTCTTCACACTCCCCAATCCATAAACTTGAGAGCTTAGGCATGGCCCCGTCTTCCACTGTCCACTGCAGTAAATTATACAGACCACGAAGCCCGAGATGTTTTAGTTGGGGAAATCCCATTGAGCGGCAGATCATTTCTCGGCCCAGAAAAGAATATGACCCAAGTTCCAGTATTCTCAGGTTAGGAAGCTTCTCTAGTGTTCCTATTGGGTCTTCCTCAATATAAGTATAATACAGCTCTAATCGAGTAAGTCCTGCAGGATCAGGAAACATATGGGATTGGTAATCCGGTAACTTCTTGCATAAACTATCGCCGATCTCTAATTCATGAATATTCCTACTAAACAACACCATTGAAAGAACATCCAAACCCCTGTTGTTGCCAAAATCAAAGTCAACGATTCTAAGTGAGCTAATGCGCATGCAGTCCAAGTTTGATATATGATTGATGATGTGTTCCAGGTCCTCAAGATTTTTATACACTATTGCTTTGAAAGCTTTGAGATTCGATAATTTGCATACTTCTTTAGGATAGCAAAACCTGTTATCGAATGATTCAAGTATCTCCAGTTGCTTGCTTAACCACAGCTTAGGGTGAGCGTCCCACCACCTCCAGTCTGGAAGATAAAGATATCTCAAACGTTCCAATTTCCATAGCACGTTCGGTATTCTACAAGAACGAGAACTGCCAGATAAATCGAGAGTTTCCAAGCACTTTAAATTGCCCAAGGAATATGGCAAGTTTATATATTGACATTTCAATCTCAAACATCTCAAATGGATAAGATTACCAATATATCCCAGAGGTGATTTGAGAAAACAACTTCCGGAGGCCATATCGAAGGATAAAATTGCCAAAACTCTAAGCATCTTCAAATTGTTGACTTGGGACATTATTCTCACCCCTGGAATAAAATGTTTCAATGGATCACACAACAATGAGCGAAGATGCGTACTATGTTCTTTTGGCGGAAAGTTGTATTTAGAGATATCTTTTGGAAGCAAACGAAGGACTAAACCATATTGTGCTTCAATTGCAAGAGGAGAATCTAGTGAAGTACTATGGTCGACCACCTTGTACAAATTCTCCTCTTTTGCCTTGGCTAAGCACATATCTCTCATAAGATCGTGAAGCCGACATGACTCCAACCTTGTTACTGCACGCTTCCCCTCCTCATGTACTTTAACCTCAACCATGCATCTGTTTGCTAATTCTTCCAAGTAACGCTCTGCAACATCCATCATTGGTTCTTGCCCTCTTCTATCATTCTCAAATATCATACCTTCTCCTATCCACATCTGATATAAACTCTCTACTCCAATGTCAGAATCTTCCCTGAATTTACCCAAGTAAAGGAAGCATGGTTTTAATTGCCAGGGGAGGTCATAGTAACTGTACGCTAAAATCTTTGGCACCTCTCCTTCTTTTCCAATTTGTTCTCCCCTAGTCAGATAGGATTTGATATTCTCATGCACTTCATTCCATTCCTTGAGGGTTTTTTTAGTTCTAAGAATTTCACCCAAAACCACCACGGCCAACGGAAGACCCCCACAGTTATTCAACATTTTCTTTCCCAACTCTTCCATCTTGTCCAAATCTTCACAACCTGTGTAGCATTACACAAACTGAATTAATATCAACTACGACGCATCTATCATTCATAAGCATCATGTTATCATTCAACAACTATACGAAAAACTTAATAGTCTGTTAACCGATAAGTCTCCCAATCCAAATATTTGAGACCTATCAATAGTCTTAGAAAAAGGCTATCTTAAGACGCATTTTAGCTTTTTTTTTAATCTACTGGATTGTATGAATCTAAAAATAAAAACTAAAAAAAAAATTATGAAGTTGTTTAAGTAAATGGTGACAATACAAAAGGAATTATGTTTCCATTGTAGTAATTCAATTGTTAAAAGTTTCAGAAAGGCTATCATTAAAAATTGGCACTGATATTCACGAAACATGTTTTATATGTCTTGGTTAGCAAGTCAAAAATGTACTCAAAATTTTTCGTCATGCGGATGAAATTGTAGGACTATCAGTCTCACACACGCACATATCCTTTTACGTAAAATGAATTTAATGTGAATAAAGGGGAAAAATTTTACCTGCACCATTACTCGCCCACAATGATTTCTTTTGTAGCAAATCCCAACTTTCTTCCTTGGTCAAACCACTCAGTGGATGGTGATAACCATTTGGACCAACATGTGCTGCCACATCTCTTTTACGAGTTGTGAGCAAAATTTTGGTTCCATGCTCCGAACCTGGGATTGCGCCTTTTAAGCAATCCCAAGCTTCTGTTGACCAAAGGTCGTCGAGAACTATCAAACATCTCCTAGCTCGCAAGTGCTGTTGAAGCAGCCTTCTTTGCTCATCTTCTTTGCTCGTCACAATCACATTTCTTTGTTCAGGAATAAGCTTGAGTAGAATGCCTTGCAAGAGATCGTTTGGTTGCCATTGTTGTGACACACAAACCCAAGCAAAACCTTCAAAATAATGCTTCAATCTTTCATGGTGATATATATCTTTCTAGCAAGAGTGGTTTTGCCTATGCCTCCCATGCCGAAAATCGAAGCCACACTTATTTTGTGCTCTGCCACCTCATTCAGCAAATATTTAACCAGCACCTGAACATCATTAGGCAGTTCAACCACATCATCGTCGGCCACAAAGGAGTAAGCGTGCCTTAATTGTTGCTGCCTGGATGGAGCTCTCGACTCTGCTTCCTCCGTTCTGGTCATTACATGCCCAAACTAGCCAAAATTTTTGGTGAGATTAGAGATCCTAGTTCTGAGACTTTGAATCTCTAAGCCCAAATCATGAAGGGCATAACCTTCTCTGGCGATACAAGCAGTCCTCTTTAGAGCACGCGTAAAGCCTCTGTTGCTTGAAATTGAAACCCGCAAAGCATAGTCTTCAACCAAATCACTTGCTTCATAAGCGACCGCTCTAAATTCCGGAAGCCACTGTTGTATAGTGTCCATTGCAGTCTGTTTCTTATCTGCATATCTTAAGAACATTTGTATGCATTTGAGATCGTCACGAAGGAGACTGACTTGCTCGCTAACGCCTTGTAGAAACTTTCCTTCTTCAATAGCCAATTTGCCTATATTCTCTACTGCAAAGGATAGGATTGCGTCTGCCATCTTGGATGAGATTGATTTATATTTTCCCTAATGGATGGAATTCACTAGCACAAAATGATGGCTTTACTCTTACATAGCAAGAAGAGCAATTTATCTGACTCAGACATTGACAAATGTTAGTAGACTCTGGAAAGTCTGAAAACCTTTGTAGGAATGCTATTGAATTTTTCCACGTGCTGTCCTTTTGAAATGTCCACGAGGTGCATTATTATTGTTCGGCCCCACATGGTAAGGATTGAGGGCAGGATTTCTTCGGCCATTTTGGATGAGATTGATGTATATTTTCTGTAATGGACAGGATTTCTGCAAAAGATGATGGTTTTACTCTGTAGTGGCAAAGGGGGGCAATTTATCTTGACTGGTTGACTCTGAAGTGTGAAACCTTTCGTTTTGTATGCTATTGAATTTCTTCTTGACTGGCTCTTTCATATGATCTGGGCTTTACTGAAAATTGTTGACCGAAAACTGATTAAAAGCTAAGAGTATTAAGAGTATTAACCACCATGAGAACGTTTTGCAATGAACTAAAAGCTAAGAACGTCTCCGACTACACGCTAAACCAAACCACCAAGAGCACATATTCGACCTTTGGGGCAAAATTTGATGTTTGTTCAAACACTACTATCTTCAAATGCAAGACAAAATCAGATTATAGTTAACCGTAGCACTACAAACACCTCGCGCTTCTTGAGAACCGTCAATAAACAAAAAATTCACATATGACAACATTCAAGCAACAACTTGTAACCGGCAAACGAAACCTCTCTGCTAAAATTAGGAACACGAGAAACAGAAGCTAAGATACCGAGATTAACAAAGCTTGAAGTCCACTTAATCTCTACATTTGTCACTTGGTCGTTCCGTCCCCGTCACCGTCCCCACACGATGCATTATTACGGTGCACCAGACCACAATAATTCAGGGTGGTACGGTGCTGCCCTGGCTGCTCGTTCTACTGTACACGGGACCGTAATAAATTTGGTTCGGTTGACGAGCATTATTGCTAGTCCAAAGGAAAAAATAAAAAAGAAAAGTCAGGTTAAAACTAAATGGGATAATTTCACAAACCTCCTTTGAGGTTTATGACAATTTCGCTCGGCTCCCCTTAAGTTTTACAAATTACACTGACCTCCCTTATCACAATAAAATGACTATAATGACCTTCACTTAACAAATAATTTACAATATAATAAAATGAGATTAAGAAAAAAAAAGAAAAAGAAACTTGATTTTTTCGAGTATCCTGTTTACAAGTTACAGCTAACGATGATTATCTCTCACTTAATATCACTTCATTCTCATCCATTAACCCCTTCTACCTATAACTCGCTCTTAAATTACCACCAACCATTGTCTATAATTGCAACCAATCACGCCACAAGTGATCCCTCAAATTTTACTAGATATTCATATTCCTCCTTTCTTCTCTTTGGAATTGCCAAATCATAAATTTAGTTAAGCAATTAGATTTGATGGTTGAAGTAAAACCCACTTTCATGGTCAAATTAAAAGGAGATAAAGAGGCACACAATAATAATGAAACAAATAATGCAATCATTGGCCAAAAGAAGAAGAGGGACTGAAATTGATAAATTGCTAATTTATTTATCATCCATCCAAAAAAACTTTTTAAGATATTAATAATTATATTTATATTTCTTTTTATGTTTGACAATTGTTGGCTGTGGTTTTACTATAGAGATAAAATTTCTTCTTTGTATTTAAGACATTAACATGTTTGAAGATTTAATGGTAAGTTAGATTATTTTGTTTTGAGAAGGTATGGGCATTGGGTTTGAAATTTGAGGTGTGATTACTTGTAAATGAAATTTTGATTTTTAGCAAAATGAATTTCTTGAAAATCTTTATAGTCATAATGATACCTTTCGTTCTCTTAAACTTGATTAATTCCATCCATACCTAAATCTCCCCTAAGGATTTTCTTCAAGGCCATAATATGGCTCATGTAGTAAGAGTTAAGTCACTTATATGGAACCAAATCATGGCATCCTGCGTTGAACATTATGAAAATATGAGGGCAGTTAATTGTGAGCAGTGGCAGATTTAAGGTAGGGCCACAGGCCCCACTGTCCCCCTTAAATTCCTATTGTACCCATAGAATTATAATATAATTTCAAGTATGCCTCCGAAGTTTTCTTATGAAGGAAGGTAACGAATTACATGGTCCTTTAAGTTGGTTCATAAATTGACATTCTAAAAGGATGTATAGGCCACAAAATTCTATTTAAAGTAAGTTAAAAAAAAGGTTTTTCATTTCAACTTGTTAGTGAATATTTTTTTGTTTAAAAATTAGAAAAAGAATAGATAAAAAATTTTAGTGTTGCTTTTGCTCCTACTAAGAATTTTTCTAGGTCCGCCATTGATTGTGAGTCTGACCATATGGTGAGAATATTTATGAAAAATGAAACAAATCTTCAGAATCGAACGTGCTTTAGGAGAAGCAATTTTATCACTATGATGATGGAATTACTTGGGTTTAGAATTTGGAATTAGACTATTTGTTAGACTAGTTTGTTACTATAGTGGGTTTGGTTGAAATATGGAAGAAAGCAATTAGCAAAATAATTTTTATTTTATTTTTTTACAAAAAGGGTAGTTTAGGATTTTTGAAAAAAAAAATATAGTCTTTTGGGTCTATATTGTTATATAAACAGTAAAAATAAGGAAGGTAAGTGTAATTTAATAAACTTGAGGGGAGGTTTCTGCAATTGTCAGAAATCAAGAGAGGTTTTTGTAATTATCCCAAACTAAAATGTATAATCAAATATAGCTATTTGTACATCTTAATCAATTAAAAAATTTAACGATAATAGATGAAAATTACAAAAAATGTGTGAGACAAAATTGAAAGATTATTTTGTGAAACACTTGCATATGTGTGTGTTTGGATATGAGTGATTTGAAAAAAAAAAGGAAAAATTATTTAAAATGTCCTTTACATTTTGTAAAATGACTTTTTCATCCCTAATTTTTAAAAGTGTAATTTTATGTCCCTTACAAATTCATATTGATCAAATTTGGTCCCTACATAGGTTTTCGACTAATTTTTTATCGAAATTCATCACGTGCCTTGCATGTGATAATTTTTTAGAGATAAAATTGTCAAATTAAAAATTACATAATCTATTTATAGCCCCTTATATTTCACAAAATAAATTATTTCGTCCCTAACATTTCACAAAATAAAATTTTTCATCCCTCACATTTCACAAAATGAGTTTTTTCATTCCTCATTGACTATGTATACGAATAGTTTTTTAAAATTCATGTATATATCTATTTGATTTCATTTGAACCATACGAATAGCATATAATATATTCCTATTTGATTTCACATAAATAGACTAATTAAAGTTGTACATATGCTATTTAATAGATATATACATGGGTTTAAATTTAACAATTTTGTTTTAATCCCATATATATATATTTGATTTCACCATGTGAATATATGTAATATTTGTAACCTTTTCTATTTTGATAATAATTTATTTATTGAGTTGTGTAATAAGATCATCTAATAATCTGTCCTAAGTCGAATTCTATAGTCATGCAAATAAATTGCAGCTTAAATATGAAATTTTTGATCGTCACCTTTAAGACCAACAGTTGCATTTCTTACCTTGTAATTATCTTAAAATTTGAAAGTGTCAAACACTTATTTCTTTTTGTCATACTTTTCCTTTGTTTTATTTTTTCTATCCAAATTTAATTCGATATAAACACTTGATAATGTTTAGAATTAAATGTCATCTTTGTTTTCAATTTTCAAGTAAAAAGAAATGAACATGAGTGAAAACTAACAATTTTTTTAAACCCCACATATATCTATTTTAATTTCATCTGAGCAGTATGTTCAGGTGAAATCAAATAGAGATATATTACATGCTATTTGTATTATTTAGGCGAAATCAAATAGATATATATATATGAGTTTAAAAAAAATTATTCATACACATGATCAATAAGGGATAAAAAATTTATTTTATAAAATATGAGGGATGAAAAATTCATTTAGTGAAATGTGAGGGACGAAACAATTCATTTTGTAAAATATAAGGGACAACACAATTCATTTTGTGAAATGTGAGAAATTATAGATCGGATTATATGAATTTTGATTTGATAATTTTGTCCTTAAAAAATGATCACGTGCAAGGTACATGGTGAATTGACAAAAAATTAGTCAGAAAGCTAAATAGGGATCAAATTTGATCAATATGAATTTGTAAAGGACGTAAAAGTATACTTTAAAAAATAAGGGATGGAAAAAGTTATTTTACAAAATGTGAGGGATGTTTTGAACAATTTTTCCAAAAAAATAATTTACTAACTTTCCAAACATAAATTCCAACATATCTTTTTATCTTTACAATAACTTTTTTATTTCACATACATCACATCACAAAAAATATTAAAATAATTATTTCAAATAATCTCCTATTCTTGAATTTTACTCCATCATCTAAACCCGAATCGAATGTTGTTGCATACACCCTCCCCAGCTTGAGCCCCTTGCCAAGTTCAAGTTTTGTAGAAACCATTCATGTCCGAGTAAATTTTATAAAGTTCGTTTGGATTGCAATTTTCCTCTCGAAAAATTTTATGTTTTTTATGATTATATTTTTCAATCACATTTTTATTCCTGTATATATCAAATCGTTACAATATTTTTTTTAACTGAAACTCCAAAAAATAGTAATTCAAACAGGGTCATTCACCTTATAGACAATCGGCTGATAGCTCCACAGCCGTCAGAGTTAATTTCTATATGAATTCTTGGGGTACTCATAAAAAAAAATTGATCCCTGAGCAAATTTTTTTTGTTAGTATTTATTGTTTAAGCATTAATGTCCTATGCGTTCTCTTTTTTGGCAACGCGAATTAAGGCAGCTTGACTTTCATATACTCGTCACTATATTTTGATCATTAATTATTTTTCTTCTTTTCAAATTGGTAACCAAAATACCGTAACATCCCACCAATTCCATCTAATTTAATCCATTCGTATCATATTTAAATAAAGGATGTTTCTCCTAGTTACTTTTACCTTAATAGTTTAGTAACATCGTTAAACTAATAATTTACTGAAGGCTTATTTTTCAGCTAAATAAATTTTTCATATTTGTAAGCTAAAATAATTAACTGAAAAAATGATCCCCAGCACAAATAATTTTCCTTCCCCACAACTTTTCTCAGCCACTTTTCTTTTAGACAGCCTCTTGTTAAAAGCTACAACTGATAAGCATGATTCCATGACATTTGTAAGAAGTTTTATGGAGTTTAG